TACAGTGGCAGATTATAGTAGTGAAACTGTGTCAATACAAAGTTACAGCGTCCTTATTTTATGTTTCCATGGTGTAAATGTGATGTAGTTGAGATGCAATTGTAATTTCAATGCAACTGCTTGAAAACCCCATTCTGATACCTTACAAGAAATTATGATGAGAAAACATCTTAATGCAAGTCTATTGGGGCCCTGTTCTCACCAAAGCAAAATGGAGTATAATTCTCCTTTGAAATATATGTGCATACAAGAATCAGGACATGTTAAACCAGGAGGTATTTGATCACTTCCCACTTTATTGAGTGGATGTGAGTTCCAAACATTCTGTGCCTTTGGGCATGTCTATACTACAATCTTAAACCAACCTATGTTAGGTCAATTTACAGCCAACACAGTAATTACTCCAGTGGCTGATGTCCACACTACCCTCGATGGTGCTTGTCCTCACCAGGAGCGCTTCCACGGACTGAAGAGGGCCAGTGGAGAGGGGACGGGGTGAGAGCCAGGGCTCCCAGCTCTGCACAGCTCCCCACCGGGAGCCCAGCTGGCCCCAGGCTTCTTGCCTCCCCGCTCCCAGCCGAAAGCAGTGGGGCAGCCTCCTGGGGCTTCTCGCCTCCAGCGGAGAGATCAGCACTCAGAGTCCAGTCAGCTGCCATTCTCTCAGCAGGGAGTAGGGAGCCAGGACCCCAGGGGGCAGCAGGGCTCCTTGTGGGGAGCGGGGAGCCCAGGCATCAGCCCAAGCCGGGAGCCTGAGTGGCAGCCCGGCTTGGAGCAGAGACCCGGCAGCATCCCAGCTGGAGAGCCAGGAGCCGGCCTTCTTGTCAATTTCAGGGCTCTTGACAAGACAGACAACAGCCCATGTAAGGAATGCAGTGTCTACACAGACAATGCGTTGCCCTAACTACACCAACATAAGGCCTATGCCTCTTGTGGAGGTGGAATTATTATGATGGTGTAGCAGGGCCTTACATCATCGGGAGCAAGGCTGTAGTGTACAAACTAACATAGTTAGATTGACATAAATTGCATTATGTCGACCTAACTGTAGTGTAGACCAAGCCTTTGACTACACTGTCTCGGGCCATGTCTATACGTACAGTGCTGCAGTGGCGTAGCTGTACCAATACAGCTGAGCCACTGCGTCACATCTGCTGAAGACGCTCTATGCCGATGGAAGACACCTCTCCCGTTGGCGTAAAGAAACTACCTCCACGAGCAGCATAAGTTATGTCGGCAGAAGAAGCTCTCCCACCAACATAGCACTTGTGCACACGAGCGCTTATGTCGGTGCAATTTATGTCGCTCGGGGTGGTGGAATATTCACACCCCTGAGCGACATAAGTTTTGCTGACACAGGATGTAGTGTAGACGTAGTCTTAACTTCTATGTCACAGTCAGAGGAAAGTGGGAAATGGGGCAGGGAGGGGGCCCAAACAAAAAAACTGAACAAAACAACAAACAAAATGAATACAATCCCTCTGAGGATGTCCGATTATTTTATTTCAGAAAGCATAAAAAGGTATAAAAGTGATGGGCATCTTTACTTACTGTTATAGGCAGAGCTGGTAGCAAGGCTGCTTAACACTTTGCATTCTAAGACCCTGTTTTCAGTGGCTTATAACTCAATCAAACTTCAACCGTTTGGGTTCAAATTTTCCATGCCAGCTGTCTGCCTCAGGCCGAGTTGTTTTGTAAAATTTCACCGTAATGCTGAACCCCAACGTTCAAAAATCATTAGTTTGACCTCCCAAAATCATGAAATTGTTTTTAAAAAGAGATTATGTCATGTTTTTGGTCTGGCATCTGACTTTTGAACTCTCCCTGCTCACTCCCAGTGTGTATTTGACAATTACAGTGTTACCAACTCTTTCTAATGTATTGTAGTGGGGCAGTAGTGCCACTATAGTTAAGATTGAGACTAGCTTATTGTTTAACAGCAGATTAGTCTATGTGCTCTGAAAGCCACATGTTTACTTGGAGTGTCTTGAAAATCACTGTGCCTTGTGGGAGTCTAGTGTAAGGGTACGTCTATACATACTTCCTGGTCCGGATGTAAGCGATCGATCTCCTGGGATCGATCCCGGAAGTGCTTGCCATCGACGCCGGTACTCCAGCTCAGCGAGAGGAGTACGCGGCATCGACGGGGGAGCCTGCCTGCAGCGTCTGGACCGGCGGTAAGTTCGGACTAAGGTACTTCGAATTCAGCTACGTTATTAACGTAGCTGAATTTGCGTACCTTAGTCCGAAGTGGGGGGTTAGTGTGGACCAGGCCTAAGACTAGTGGTCCAAATTTGAGGTCATTTGAGCAAGGGGTTCCTGAGATTTAGCCTCCCCCCGCCATTTGTCATGTGACATTAACATTTTATGGTTCTTTGAATTTTTTTAAGTGAATAAGGCAACGTTAGCACCAGCTGCAGGAGCTCTCACTAGACCCAACTGAGATGGGGGCCCCATTGTGTCAGGCACTGTACAAACACATAATAAGAGACAGTCCCTCCCCAGAGGAGCTTACAAAGTAGTATAAAGCTTGGCAATGAGTTTGTGATCTGGGACTCGGGCCCATCTCATATATATATCACATGGGAACAATTTGTAATCCTTGCTGAATTAGGCTCAGAGGATAGCTTCTGTCACTTACTTCTGTAGCTGCCACCTGGCCCTTTTGAGTCAGCCCCATCTTCTTATGTGGGTTAGCCTCTGCCATTCATTTGGGTTAGGCTCACCCTGTCTCCCTCTCCTATGAATTCCCTGTCTGTGAGCTGAGTTAGTTCTGCCCATGCAAGCCACCCAACAACACTGCTAGCCTCACTCTCTCACGTGTTTAGCTGGTACTTGTACAACTTTCCCTGTTAGCCTCAACCTCATTGTTAGCCCCTCCCACTCCTGGGCATTAGACCGGCCCTCTGGCTATTAGCCCCGCCCCTCCTGTCCCACAAAGTGGATGTCAGTATCCCACCCCTGTGGACTGGCTGTGTCCTTCTGGAATAAGGTAGCCTCTTCCATCACATTTGTATGGGTCCCCAGTCTGGAGTAGCCCTTCCACCCCCGAATTATCCCCTCTCCTTCCTATGTTAGCACCCCCCACTCCTCTCAGAGATCTTCCCTCCCGTCAGATGTGATAGCTTTGGTTACTGCCTATGGGATGCCCCCTCCCATTTGTAGCACACTCCACTGGATAGCCCTACTATTAATGTGTATTAGCACTCCCTGCCCTTATCACACAACCCTTCCTACTTCCATGTGTTAGCCTCTCCCCTTGTCAGATGGCCCTCCCCTCATCTAAGTCAGTTCTGCCTCCTACAGAATAACCACTCCCACTTTTGAAGGTTACCCCTCCCTTTGTGTGTCAGGGTTGGTCCCTATGAAATGGCACAGCCCATTTTTGGAGTTGACCCTTGTGGGATAGACTCTCCCCCTCAGGTGTTAGTGCCCCCAGTGACTGACCACCCCCACTTTTGAAGTTGACTGGTCCCTTGTGGGGTAAGGTGACCACAGAGCGAGTGTGAAAAATTGGGACAGGGGGTGGGGGGTAATAGGTGCCTATATAAGAAAAAGCCCCCAAATCGGGACTGTCCCTATGAAATCGGGACATCTGGTCATCCTACTTGTGTGCCAGTTCCTCCTCCTGTGGCTCCCCACCCCCTAAGGAATAGCCCCTCCCACTTTTGAGGTTGACCCTGCCCATTGTGGGCTAGCCCCACCCTCGTGTGTTAGCCCCGCCCCTAAGGAATAACCACACCCACTTCTGAAGTTGACCCACTCATTGTGGGACAGCTCCACCCACTCTTGTGTATTACCTTGCCCCCTAAGGAATAACCACGCCCGCTTTTAAAGTTGATCCCGCCCATTGCGTGACACCCCTCTCCCTGGCGTGTTAGCCCCGCCCCTGATGAACAACCACGCCCAGTTTTGGACGTCGCTTGCCCCTCAACCACACCTCCTGTGCCAGCCCCGCCCCTCGGAGCTGGTCCCGCCCCCTGAGCGGCCGGCGCGGGGCGTTTCCCGCCGGGCGGCGGAGGCCCCGCCCCGTTGTTTACCGCTCGCTCGCTCGGCCGGCCAGGCTGCTGCCACCGCCTCCATCTCCATGTTGGAGCGTCCCGCTGTTCGCGGCGCGGCGGGGCAGCAGCGGGCGGGGGAGGCGCCTGTGGCCTGGCTGTGAGGGGAGGGAGGCGGGGCGCGCTGCGAGCGCGCTGACAGGCTCTGAGCGCGGCGGCGGCGGGCGGCTGGCAGTGGTGGCGCAGCGCGGAGACCCGGACTGGAGCCCGGCCCGGCCTCCCCCCCCCAACCCCGGTTCTTCCTCCTCCTCACAGGGCGGCGGCGGCGGCTCCTGCCCCTGGAGCTGGTGTCTCGGCGGAGCCCGCAACGCTGCCGCGGGGGGCGGGCGGGGGCCTGGGCTGGGGGAGCGCTCCGGGGGCGGGTTCTGGCTCCGGGCGTCGGGGGGCATGTAGCGATTGCGTGGGGGGGGTCTTACAGGTTTCTTAGGGGGGGGCTCTCGGGCGGGGGCTGAGGGAGGGGCGAGGGTATCTAGGGGCTGGGCAGGATCAGACCGTTTTGGGGGGCTGGGTTGATTTGGGGGCGATACAGGTTAGGAAGAGGGGGATCCGTTTATTATTGGGGGCTGGGTTGATTTGCGGGTGATACAGGCTGGGAAGAGGGAGAGTTATTTAGGGGGTAGATAGGCTCAGATAGTCATTGGGGGCTGGTCTGATTTGGGGGTGATACAGGTTAGGGAGGGTTGGTACATATTTCTGGGTGGTACAGGGCTTTAGGGGGTAGAGAGGTTTCCTAGGCAGGGTATTTTTGGGGGTGATATATTTTGGGCGTTCTAGGGGTGGTGATTCGAGGGGGGGAGTGATACGGGATTTTTGTTCGTGTTTTTGTTTTGGTGGGGGTGATATTTCCCTCCTTCCCCTCCCACCCCCCACTGGGAATTACTACTGGAGGAGGAGGAGGCGGCACTATAGGAGGGGTCCCCTGTGCGCGCGGTTTTTTTTTTTTTTTTTGGTTTTTTTTTTCTTGGCTGGCTTCTTTCTTGAAGGGGTTTTGGGAGAGAAATCTGCCTATCGATCCCTAAAAACAAACGCACACAAACCTGCCTCTGGGAGGGAAATAGCCAGGTGAAATCGCACTCTGTTTCCATGGACAACCCGTCCATTATCACCCAGGTGACTAACCCCAAAGAGGAGGAAATACTGTCCTGCACTCAGGATAAAGGTAAGCGTTCCTTTCAGATTATACTAAAGTGATGGGCGCTGTAAAGATGCATGCAATAATAATATACACTCCGCAGATAGTATAAATATCCTTCCAAGGCACTGGGAATGGAGGCGTGTTCGGTTGTTTATAGGGTGTAGGTTGAAGCCAATATTTGTTGTGATGGCCTCTGACACTGCTTGTCTAGATAATTCATAAAATTATTTTAATTTAGCATTAACTAGTTTTTATTTAAATAAAATATATTGTCTCTCCAGAGGGTCCTTTAATGTAACTTCTGTAACCTTGTTTTTGTCACCCTGGAGGCTCTCTAGGAAGAAACATCCCTGTCTGGCTTGTTAGAAAATTTTGAAATCTCATTCTGGGACAGAGAGACGTTTGTGGGGGAAAGAGGGTTGTGACTCTCCCAACCTTAATTTAAAACAGAAAATTTATCTTCAGATTTTGTTGAAGGATTCTGCCTTGACCCTGCAAAAGAAACAGAGGCTACTTAGCATCTGAAAGTGGTCAAGCAAAACTGATCTGTAAATATACAATCATAGGCTGCTTACAGCATCACATAAAGATTATATTGTGCCCTGACCCAAAACAGGGTCCACAAAGCCTGCTCTGGGGAGCCTCCACTGCTCAAAAGTTAAGACATTGACAGTTGTCCTCACCCTCGCTGCCCTTCCAGGATGTTGCAGGGGTCTTGAACTGTGGGTGGCTAAGTGACTGTTGTGATACAGAGGTAGGCACTACAGGATAAATAAAAGACAGTCTTTAACAGACAGAATTTTTTTGAGAGCATTACAGATCTTAAAAGTTATTGTGTGTATAAATGTGTGGGGTGGGGTTTTTTTGGTACAGTAGGTAAAAACAAGGCAAAAGGAACAGAAATGTGCATATATGAAAGTAACATCTGTTAATAGATTCAGCACTATTCCTTTTTATTAAATAACTCAGTATTCCCTTTCCCTGTGATCAATATCCATCATTTTCTGGTGTCCTGCAGCACTCTTCCTTTTTTTCCTAAGTGTGAAGGTTCTTGTAATGGTAAGGAATTCTGAATAGCTAGAGGGCTCGGTCCCTGTTTCATTCTAACAGTGTTTTAGAGCAAAACATTCCACACCCAACCACTGATTGTCATCCCATACCAGGAAGGCTATTTGTAGGAAAGTACAGTGATATATAAGAAATTAATCCATGCCATTAGAGGTGGTTGTTATAAAGGAGCATTTTCTCCTTTGGAATAGGAATGCTACAATCACTCTTCTCTCATGCAACCAATTGTGAAATGACACATTTACTATGAGGTCTTGTGTATGCAGACTTCTAATATTTTCCACTGGTGGTAGATTGGTTTGGGGTGTGCAACTGTATACAAGGCACTTGTCATTGACATTTTGTACAGGGGCTCACAGACATCTTTGGAGTAGGGTTAGGTGATACAGTAGTTAAAACATCAGTGACACCCAGAGGCCTGTTTATATTGGAGCTCCCATTATTGCTGTTATTACTGGTGAAGGTGTACTGGTGTTATCAGCAGTGAGAATTTTAGAGTAGACAGAATAGTGGAGACACAGCTGATAGAGTACAACTTGACAGCTTGTAGTAAATATATGCATTTGCAATAAACATAAGTGTCTTCAGGTTCATTATTCTGTGTTTGATTATATATTATCTATGGTATGTATTTTCATGTTGTATATTCATATATAACTCATTCTAGTCTATCTTAAAGTAAAAACCATGGAAAATTAGCCAGTGTGCACCGGCATAGTAGTGATTTTTTAAACCTGGGAATTTTTACAGCTTTAGAAAAAGGTAATTCTTGGTTTTATAACTTGCAATATAGGTTACTGGTCTTTAAAACTTCATTTTTAATGGATTTTTGTTATTTAAAATGCTTCTCTGCATTTTTACCTACGTGAATTTTAGATTGAATTTGTTTCAAAATTTGTAACAAAATAATATATGCTCTGAGGTTTTGTCAGTGTCATTCCTATGCAAACTGTTAAGGTAAAGAATTGTAAATTGCTTATCTGCTGGGTTTTGTAATGGAAATGCTAGCCATCCTTAAAATCTAGGTATGGTTAGAGGATTTTCTATTTTTCGGGGTTTGTAGGTTGTCTTAAGGTTATTTGCATACCTCACTTTAGTGACTTCAGGTTATGGTAAGGCTTCTTTGTAACTTGGGGATTCCTTAGAGTTCAAGCAAAGCTTTAAGATGGTGTATGTTAAAGCAGAGCCTAAACCTAAGGTGCAGTATACATGGGGCTATAGGGAACTCGAACTTTTAGTGGGAGGCAATGCAGCTGTATAAATCAGGGCGTCAGGGTTAATCTTCAGTAACTTGTTTGTGTTAAATTGACGTGTATACAGTGGTTCTCTAACATGTATGTTTTTAATATATGCTGATTTAACTCTTGAAGCAATCAGTTCCAGAATTTGTTTTTAGTACATAATGTCTTCTGAAATTGTTCTGTAATTATAAAAGCACTGTTTCAATTGCTTCAGTTTACTCTGTCCACTTCCTGTATGATTTTAGGCTTTGGCGGTGAAAATGTGCTCTAGGATATACCTTGTCGTATAGGGTTTTCAGGAGTAATTTTTTAGTTATTTAGAATACAATATCTATGCTCAAACTCTGAAAATGTTTAATATCTATATATTTTACCATTGCAAGGTGCCATGATGCAGGCTAGCAAAATAAAGACCTACTTAATAGGCACTGGGGGCAGTTGTCTTCATGTAAACATTCTGCTTTAAAAATGTCAAAATATTTTCTTGCTAGTCCAAAGTGCATTAAAAAATCCTTAAAAAATTGGCTTCTATGGTAATGGAACTTCCCATTAAAGTTTTTTAACTATCAGTATTACAGTGGCACAGTTAACAAATATTTAATTCTAATAATTGGATCAAAACCATGAAAAAAGTTGACTTTTTTATATGAATTATTCAGTGACTGACTGCCACATGATGGTGCACTACATTTAGTTCTGACAGTCAAAATGAAGGCCAACTACTGAAAGTTGTAACAACTACATTTTTAATGATTTCATTTAATATTTGTCCTGAAATAGTTTCTTTTCTAGAAGTTGTTACACTTTCAGCTAATTTTGGTATTTGCTGATGTAAGTGTAAATAAATCAGTGCTTGGAATTATAAATCTCTTGTGCAAATTTAAAAGATTGGATGGCTATTTAAAAATATTTTTAAGCAGAAAGCTAACAAACTCTTTGATAGACTTTCAGTAAGCTAAAGTGTTCCCCTTTGCTGGAAACTCTGGAGCTTGACAGTTCTGCCTTTTGTAAACTCAAAACAACAACAAAAGGTGTAGCTAGCAATTAAAATGGAAATACTTATAAGAATAAGAAAAGTAAAATTTCTTGTCTGTGGGTGACAGATTTTTATCTTAGTTTTTATTCAAAATTTAGATCTTCATGTTACAGATAGAAAGTAGACACACTTATTTTAACTGAATTATTTATATTTATGTACTGATCAGTTACTTCTTGATATACTAGTTAAATGCTTCATGTCTTGAAAAGAGAGCAGTGATGATAGATTTTAGCATTGAATATTGTGTAGACAGACAAGCTAATTGATATGTATTGTGTAATTAGGCCAAAGAAGTGTATAGCCTCTATTTTGCATCTGTGAATTTCTTTTTAATCTTCATCAATGCAGAGATTGTAGGTTGTTTAAATAGTCATAAATTAACGTGTATGTAGCTGTGACATGAAATTCTAGTCCAGTTAGTAAGTACATTGCTGTCCAGATTCTCTTTGATGTTTGGCTGATTTTCTCAGTTCAGACACATCTTTCCTAACTTGTTCTAAAATTTGACCATGATCAAAGCTCTCATTCAGTCATTTGGAATTATTGCATATTGTCTTCATGAATGTCTTTTGTTGTATGTGTAAAAGCAATTATTTTTTGGAAAAATTTCAGACCTGGAACACCCAGTAATCGTATTTTGAATAAAGTATAACCCTTAGTACTTTATGAAAATATAAAAGTCTTGAGGAGCTTCATTTCCCTCCTTTTTTACAAAGAGTGTTCATTGTCATTTGAGGCAATATGTTTGCAGTACCATTGTAGCGGTGTTTGGCCCAGGATATGAAAGAGAGACAAGGTAGGTGAGGTAATATATTTTTTTGGACCAACTTCTGTTGGTGGAAGGTACGAGTTTTTGAGCTACACAGAGCTCTTCTTTGGGTCTTTTTTTATTTGAAGTAATAAGCATTTCAAAAGATCTTCACCTAAAAGCTCACATTTGGAGTAGAACTGAAGTACAGTGTTCTTGAATTTTAATGTTAACATGATTTAATCACAACTTAAGTGTCTGATATTTGGAATATTTTATTTTCTCTTTATCACTGTGATTTCAATAGGATTTTTAGTGCTTCATGAACATTTGAACACACTGTTTAAAATAAAGTATCGATATAACAATTTTTTTTATGTTCACCAAAACACACTAAATAACATGAAGTAGAAAGTAACATTAAGAAGAAAATGTAGAAATCCCCTCTAGCTCTGCATTGGAATGTGGTTCATTACAGAGGGTAAATTCTAAAATGTTAACTAGTGACGGAATTGTTATATGAAACCTGAGCAACCACATTAAGTTTTGCGTTCTAGATACACTGTAATAACCTGTGGTAACCTAAGATTTAGTTTAAAGTTGCAGTTAAAACTCAACAAACTGGGATGATGATAATGATGATGATTATTATTATTATTATTTTGGTGATCTGAATGATAGTTTATACAAATATCTGGTACTCAAGCCATATCTGAGGGCTGTGAAACTGTCATTTTATTTAATGGTGGTCTCTTTGAATTCAGACTTGTCTTAATGTGGTGATTTAACTTAAGCTTTCAGAAATGTGTGCCTTAAAAAACAGCAAGTTTGGACTATATTTTGTCAATCTGGCATTCAGAAATGCAAATTGAAACACATTTCTAATATGAGTCAATAAAACACAGAGTGTGATCTGTCATGCACTATA